GCAGGCGAAGCCGCGGGCGGAAAGCTAGTACTAAAAATAAAGGACAGTCACTTACTCGTCTTCAGTAATATTGCTGTGAGGTGCGCCCGTGTTGTTGTTATACAAGTGGAAGTATTTGGTGAAATTAAAAATCGTCTGCCGAGACTTCGTTTCAAAACAGAAAGTCACTGCTGGATACGGTATCTATTAGAAAAAGTATCATTAAGATCATCACGTCAACTAAGGTCAATAAAATTAAAACTATATTATTGGTCCCTAATGCCTGATTTTTCATATTTCCCATACTTAGGGCTGATTTTACCATCGTCGGATAACTTTTAACTGAAGAATAAGTTTAGTACATTGACAGTTTCAGTATGGGAAATATGTCAAAATGACAAGCTTATTCTTCAGCTAAAAGCTATCTAACGATTGAAAAATCAGCCCCAAGAATGGGAAATAAGTCAAAATGACAAGCTTATTCTTCAATTAAGTTATCCGACGATTGAGAAATCAGCCCTAAGTAGGGTTGCGAACGTTTTATTTAAAGAATATAAAGACAAAAAGATTAAATACTGTCTTCAAACAGACACAGTACCTCCCAGACTGGAGTGGTGGTCTCAGCAAAGGTCACAATGACGGGAGTATCGTCCCATTTTGTATAAACTTTGAATATTTGAAAGCCGCAAAGCACCACGCAAAAAATGAATGTAAAAGTCCAGAACAGCCTAAAAAAGAGATGGTACGGTTTACTCCACTTGTCACTTCACCCAGATGAACAAAGTAGATTTTTTAGTGGCCTCGTTTTTTCAACTCGGAACCGTTTCAGCTTCATTATGCGGGTGATATTAAGTCCACCATGATCTATGAAAAAAGTCCCATTTGTTCACCTGGGTGAAATAATTCCTAGGTGAACAGAGACGACCGCTTCGACACAATTCATCTAGAAAATGAAGCTGAGTGAATCGGTTTCGAGCTGAAATGAGGACACTAATAAATCCACATTGTTCAGTCCTGGGTGAATAATCCATTTAATCTTTTATCTTTCAGGTGTTCAATCTCGAATTCACACAATCAATCAACTATGGTAAACTAAATTAACCCAAACTGATAAAATACACAAAAAATCAAAAGACTCACTTTTCCAGAAGGGTCCGTTCCTTTTCCCCGATGTACCTGAGTCCATGAAGATTTGAATTTTTTGTGTAGTCGTTCAAAACTTCTTTAATCGTAATTGTTCTGCGTTTAATCGAACTATTGTGTATCTCAACGCTTCCCAAGCTAAAATTATTACAATAGTTATTTAGTTTTAGTTGACAATAGAAACTAAATTATTTAACACAAGCTTGCTATGTTAACCTGTAACGCCTCATGGTGCGAGTGAGCGATACTTGCAAATGAGACCAACTCCCGAATTGTTGTGAAATTTAGGCTTGGCGACAAATGAAGTAATACCATAATATCATACCCCCATGGGAAATTACCATCAATTATGAAATTGCGTAGAAGGAGTTCGACACACTTAATATTAATTTAAAAAACGCAAATGGACTTAGTTAATGTTTCATAACGATATAGGAAACATTATTAATTTTTTCATTTAATTTTGTTAATCTATGGCTTGTTTGTTATTGCTAATAAATTTCTTCACATACCGTATTATTCATTCCTTTAGGGTATTTTCGAAACATGTGGGGCTATTTGATTTTAATAGTCTATCTATCACAACAGCACATCAAGCTAACAACTGAAGTCTCTTATTTCGTTGATTTGCAATCACCCCTTGATTTGCAACAAAAAAATGTATAGTTTGATGTACTGTCACCAGTAGGTACTCAAAGAAATACTAACAAAACCTTTAGAGAAAAAGGACAATAGCCCAACGATCACCCAGGTCATTTTATCCATGGGTCACCCATCCATGATGGCTGATCAAAGGATACCAAATTGTCACTCGGAGTCCACTTTGATCACCTGGGTGATCAAAGCCAGGTGATTAAAGTGGAATAGCTCATATTTTTAATCGGCAAAATGTATGGCTACTTGAATTATTTGGCCTTAATGTGTTCGCTAAACATCTAATAAACAATTCCCCATGAGTATAGTAGAGTAATTAAAAAAATATATGGAAGTGTCATGAAGTGTATTAGGCATTTCATTAAGTAATTAGAAGCCCAAAAAATTCAATTTTTACCCGACTACGGCGAAAAGAGGAAGGGTTATGGTTAGGGTTGCCAGGCGTCCGGCTTTAGCCGGACATGTTTGGCTTTTTAAGGTCTTGTCCGGCCAAATATTGGCTTGTCCGGCCTGTCCGGCTTTTGTTAGGCTTTATATGTGGCTGCCGCGCCAGGCGAAAGTCGAGTCACAGAATAATATCAAGCGCACGCATCAGGATGATAGGCAACCGATGATGATAATAACCACTCGTGAGCTATGACACTAATTAAACCCCCCTCCCCCGTGACATGTCCGGCTTTTAGGGTAAAATGTCCGGCCAAATGAAGCTCAGAGCCCGGCTTTTGTGTTTTTGGACCTGGCAACCCTAGTTATGGTTTTAGCAGTCTGAAATGTTCACTATTTTCTAAAAGTAGATATTTCTAATAAGAACGTTACGTCATCGCGTCTTCCTACCTAAATAGGCGATATACAAAACACAACATTTTGTTTTTTTAATAAAAGTTTTTATTAAAATTAATTCTAAAATTTAAATAACTCAGATTTGTCGCCCATAAATGCGCAAGGGCTAGTCCTGGAAGGCCTTACAAAATTTGAAGGCCAAGGAATACAAGTAATACAACTACAACCGAAAGAACACGCATTATTTAGGGAAGGGGCCCTTCCGAAGGGCACTACACATTTTGCGGTCCTATTAGTTCGTGAGCTAGCTCGCTAGTCTCGCTCAAAAATTTGCGAGCTTGAATTTTATTACACATCTTAGTAATATCTGTATTAAGTTTGTTCACATGCTTAAAAATATCACAATTAAAACTATTAGCATGAATGATTACTTAAGTCATATGGAAATTTATTCAGATGCATGGGGAACTTCCATTCAAAACATTGGAGTTGAATTGATGTAGGTAATTAACATTAAAACAAAAGTGGTCTCAATTCCTCTAATCAATGTGAGTGACTATTACTTGACGTCACAATGACGAATCAAACAATGTTTAGGTCAGCAAGTGCAATAAAAATCGCTATTATGCCATAAACAAACCACGACAATTTAGTGAAGTGAAAAAAGGCGCGTTGTTGCCAGCCCGTAAGTGGGTCGAGGCGGCAACGTCGCATTATAGCGGTACTGGGTCGGAGTGGCAACGTCGCGCGGGGAGCAGCCACGCTATAGTAAGCGTAGGTTGGTATGTGGTGGGTTAACTTTAGGTTTGATAAAACTGAGTTTCTGCTTTGAAAACAGAATGTTCCGAAACTTTTTAATGTTGAAAAATTTCTCACTTCTAAACAATGGGATAAAGTTCACATTCACAATGAAGAACAACAAATAACACGTCGGATAGAGCGCATAAACAATTCTTTATGTTGTTAAAATTGGTTTGTTTGTACCCATTTTGAAACCGATATTCAGTCCATAAAAATCACTTGAAAAAATTATAAATATTTGTAGCGATTCCTCGTATTTTTTCATGACAAGGTGTCACAAAAACACGTGTCGTGTTTGCATAAGTCTCTAAATCATCGTAATTATAGTATCAATCAACCTATCTAATCAATATTTCAATTGAAACCGACGCAGAAATAAGCGTGTTGTTGTGTTGCCTCCACTCCTTCATACAGTGATTTCAGATAGGTATTATTTTAACTATAGCGTCTACAGTGCCACATTAGTCTATTAAACCGACATCTCTTTCTCATGATTTTGGGATAAATTACTTACTGTCGACAAATAGATATTCATAACAAAAATAAAATAAACACTAGACTTCTATTAAAATATTCATCGTGTCGCTCCTCGTCAACTCCCTTCCTTATTACGCACATCCCTAAACGAGCTAGGAGCTAGAGCTAAATTCAAAAACAAAAAATGCCTAAATAGAAATCGTTTATTCTGCACTGAGGTTAGGCGGAGTTCCGCAAAACAGCCAAGCTATAATAACAGTGGCCAGCATGATTTATGTAGCCACAAATCACAAACGCGCAATTTGAATCGTTACATTAGTAGCACATAACCTTGCCGTATATTATTTGTGGTTATTAAAACTGTTTTTGTCTAGTTTTAATCGAGTATTGTCTATCTATAGATTAAGCTAGAAATATTAATGTTAACAGCACGATTTGTTTCGTAGCTTGTTTAATAGTTCACGACTATTCATCAACTTATTAGTTCAAATCAAAATAGTTGGAGATTAAAACTCATTTTATTTAGTAATAATGTGAATTGTGTAGGTCATGCTGCAGCTGCAGATTGTTATGAGTGCCAGGCAAATAAGCAACACCCAGCAAATAATAAAAATCATTCGAATGCAGGTAGAAAATGGTGTCAAAAACCTCTTGTTCGACACTTTCGTAGCGCGGGACGGTACTCAAGTCAACACGGAAAGTGCATCAAATGGAGAAAAAAAGATTTTGCACGAATGCCCGGCTCGTTTGGCAACGTCTCTTAGGCAGCAAAAATTATTTAATTTACGGTATTGGATTTTTTATGCATTTTATGCATAACCACAAAATACATAATAATATAAGTACCAAATACCAATATAAGAAAGAACCAACGATAAACTTAAATGCTTACTGCATATCTGATAATAAGTACTGTTCTAACTTCTAACTCAACATACAGAATTAAGACTTTAACAAGTGACAAACCTTTAAAATAATTCAAATGTGTACCCCTACTGGGCTGGGATAATACGCTGTCGTAATTACAATCCCTTTAATCTGCAACAGCAAAATGTGTTCAAGAAAATAAAACCGTAATTCCGCTACGAGCGAGCGATAAGAGCACACGCCCGACTTTATGACGCGACCAAGTCGCAATGGGCGGCCGAGTCGCAAGCCAATGACCAGAGTCGGCGTGCGCACAGTCGCACGTCTCCGCGGCAGTAGCGGCGCGCAAGTCTGTGCGGGCGGTGCGTTTTTGTCTTGAGGCATTCAAGTGTGTCGAACGGCAACATTTTGTCTGTAGCTCAGTGGCGAACTAGCTTGCGGTTTTCTGATTATAATTGTCACAGCCCTAGGCCTCCAGTTTCTATTCGTTTCTTGACTGATTAGAAAAATCAACATCAATGAAAAAATACTTCTAGTTTAAAACGACTGTTGGATAATAAAATAGCACATTTGAGCTACTGTGTGAGCTAAAAAAATTAGGTAGTTCACTTTGTCACAGCACTAGGCGAGTGCGTTTTGTCGCAGTAATGTCGGAAATGGCATTTTTTAACCCCGCGGATTTGATAGAAGAGATAGAGAAACGGCCGGCCTTGTACAAGAGTGATCAGCCAGCCGAGAGGGAGGAGAAGCTAGCGATGTGGAAGGAGGTTGGCGCAGCCATTTTTAGTGATTGGGAGACGTATAACAAGGCCACCGCGTACGACAAAGGTGCGTTCAGCGTATCACAACAATCATGTGAACAAAGTTGCAACTTTTTCTTCTTCTATGGCTCTCGCGGGTTGCGTTTAGCCACGACAGGGTTTTTTGTGGACATTGCGTTTAGACAGCGTGGGGTTAGGTTAAAAAAGTTGCAACTTTTTTTTTCTTAAATCAGTAAGTTCAATCTAACCACGGAATCTGACAAACAATGTTCTAGCCATATTTTATACTTCACTAAAAACTTTGTAAAATTTAATAAAACCTCAAAAAGTAGCGAGTTACGACACGTACAATCATTCCCGAAAGCACTCATGCATATGCAACCAATGATATAACCCTCTCCCCCACCGCCACAAGTAGGGTACCCATCTGGTTGGTATAGTATTTGTAAAGTCAGTCCTGATAGGAAAACATAATTTTTGAAAAAAGTCCAGATTTTAGTAACATTTATTCATTTTACTGCCTTTTTAAGATATTTTTACTTTGCTTTTAATTTCTAAATCTCTACCACTGCTACAGGTTAATGTAAGCCAATAATAAGCAGAGGAAGAAACTCCATCGTCACTAATTTTGTAAAAATTACGTGCATAAAAGTTACAGACCCGAAGGTTGGGCATCATCATTATAATGTCGGTTAATACCACTTGTGGGTAAGATATGAGCTAGTCCATCGAATAGGGAATCCGGTCAAGTCCAGGCAAGTCAAGACGCACAGTAACCCTACTGCCAACTGCAAGGTCTCCCGGGGTGCACGTGGAATTCGCCCTATCTGGCGACGTAGCCATCCCCCGGGATGAAGCATACGTGTAACGCGGCTACGTGACATCACAACGCGACGCGACGCATTAGGGTTGCCAACAGTATTTGGGGGTAGCGGTAGACAACCTAAAAACCTAGGCGCCCAACTACTATTGAGTTTGTAACGTGTTGTTTTAGTGGGAAAGCCTAGCCCTCTGACAAGGGGATTCGACAAAGCCATTGACTAAAATACTATTATAAAGTAAAATCCAATTTATTTTCCAAAAATGTTTTGATCCTGTTCGGAATTCGATCCTAATACAATGCTTTAATTTTTTAACAAAAAGTTGGGAACCCTAGATCGGCCTGAGAAAATTAAGGTAAAATCGCGTGATTTCGTCCATAATATCATTTCTGGTGTAAGCTTGTCATGATGAATGATAGGTATGAAATTAAAAATTTATTTTGATTTCATAAAATCTTAATAGCTATCTAAAGCTAGGATAAATACGTGATACTTTTTGCTAGTTAACTAAAGTACAGAATAGTTTTATTTTGTAAAAAAAAAGCCATAAATCATAACTTATTGTGACAAAAAAAATAGGCAGTATTTTGTCGTCTCGCATACTTATTGTAATAATACACGGCTTGTCAAAATCCAGTTCAGAATGTACACCGATTCTCATTTGAGATGCATAAGAAGACAATATTAATTCAATTGTCGGGAGCCCGGGGGCAGGCGAATTGTTATTCAGAGGAATCCCGACGAGTTATCAAGGGAATGGAATTCCAAAAACCAGTTTTACCCACGGAATTATGGAGGCATTTAATTGGTCACGCACACGGACTGAAATCTGAATATGACTCATCTTTTAGGGCGCAGGTTAGGATAGCGGACCTGACCTCTTTGGCCTTAGAAAAAAATAGTATGGTCACCCACAGGCTAGTAGCAGACCAGCTAACCGCAAAATCACTTATTTTCTCAATGGAATTTTAATTTTAAAATTGCTTTGTTTCATCTAGATGAATATACGAAAACAAAATGATTATCAATTGGTACCCCTTATCAGACATTATACTAGAACAGCCAATCGCCAGTACATGAGTCTACCAGTCTCTTAAGTCCTATCACATTTGTTGCAAAGTTGCACTTACTTACATAATTAATTACTTGGTGGCACAGTGTTAAGATTATAATATTATGCAGTAGTACTTTTAGTTACGTCAGATAAACCGCACTACTTTAGAACTTTTATGAATTCATGAATGTAGCATTTCATTCTGGCCCTCTAGCGACATTATTAGCAAAATTATAACAACCTGAACCTTCAGTTGTTTTTATTTTCTGTGGCCGGCTTTTAGCTCTTAATCTGCCCGAGTGGCCCCTGGTCCCAGTAAGTCTGTGCATCCCTGATCTAGATAAGTATTGAAACGTCTTTTCTTTACAGTTCTGCAGCTGCAAAGAAAATGGCGATCGCTGAGAGACGCGTACAACCGCGAGCTCCGGTCTCGGAGGACCGGCATCAGGACCAACAGAAAGGTGTACAAGTACTTCAAGAAGATGAGCTTCCTTGGCGGATTCACTGGCACCTTGAGCGAGGAGTGAGTAGAAGGTTGCTCTATGCCGTTTAGAAATGGACTCCTCTTTCACAAACTAACGTTTTTATCACTACAGGATTTGAAACTTAGGAGTTGGTTTCAGCTTGTATATCATGTTTTCCTTTGGACCAATTTTCTTTTTATTAGTATAGGTTCATACTTCAGTATCAATTTATGAACCTAAGGATTCTTTAAGGGCAGCGCAGGACCGTCGTTATGGGAATCCAGGGGAAGCCTTAATCCAGTAGTATACCATTTAGCTGAAACGAACGAAAAAAGGATTATTTTTACTAGTCAGATGTCTATCTTGTTGGATAATTAAATCATTTTGTTCCAGTGAAAACACACAAGACATGGGAGAAACTCATAGCAACGGAGAGGAAGACATGGCGATATTGAACGCGTCCATCGTCAAAAGTCTGTCAGAGCGAGAGCCTAAAGCGAAGGTGAAGAAACCTAGAAAGAAGCAGCGGAAGCGGCGGTCTACGGTAGACAGCGATCCGCCTCCAGAAGAAGTAGAAATGCCCGTGTTTCCTCTAGAAATAGCCACAGAAGGAGAGAACGATAGTGACAGGCTGTTCCTGCTATCCTTTCTACCGGAGATGAGGCAGCTGCCTCTGAACCTGAAGATGTGGGTGCGAGCCCAGATCGCCAGCGTCATGCAGGAGGCTGTCACGTGCCACTACACAAACACCCTCCCTGGGACTTCAGCCGATAAGAACGGTGACGTCAAGAGGCCAAGATACGATAGCAACGAGGACTCATAGAAATATTGCTTAAATTAGTTCTATTAAATATTTATGAACGAAAATATAAAGGCTTGATTGTCCCTAAAAGCAAATGTTACGATGTTTACAATATTTGAATAAAAAACTCTATTCATAGTTCTAAGAATATGACAAAGCTACTAATTTTGCCATAGAAATGTAAATGACACGTAGGTGGTAAATAATAAATTGTTGATAGAATGGAAGGCAATTTATTCTTTGGGCTTGGCTTCCTGTAGCCAACGTTTTAAATGAAACTTGTTATTAGTGCCATCACCTGGTTATATGGAGTAATATCGTGAGGGGAGTATGTAACGTACTTTTACATATGGCAGCAACATTGGCCAGGTCTTTATCTAACTTGAATAAGGTTGAAAATTGTGCTCTAACCCCTCAGTCGTAGAATTTTAACTCGGCATTTTCCTCCACAAAGGCATAATGGAAAGTTGGCGAAGTCTAAATTATGATATTTTACACTCTGTAGGTACTTTATGAACGAAAATTCCTACAAAAACGAGTTAAACAAACATGAAAGGCCCATATTTGAGGGCGGGTGCTTACTACTGAGTTATTTTAAACATTCCTGTGCTCATAAAAATACAAAATTGTATTTGGAAAAGAAGGAATATTTTTCAACTAAACTTAATTAAAGTTAAATTAATTTGTTCGTTATTGTGTTTCCAAAATGTTTTTTGTTAATTTAGATTTTTTTATCTTATGCTACATTCAGTAAAAAATAATCCTAGTGTTATATAAAAAACTTTCGAGTTTTGCATCACGACTTAACAAAGAATAATAAATATCTTACAGCTAAATAAAGCCTTTTTTTACCTTCCTCAAGTATTTTCGGTGATCTTACTCTTAATTCTTAACAAACAAGCTCTAAAAGATGTCCTGGGCATTACCTGTAACGAACAAAAAATATATTAGTAAAATTAGTTAATGGTATTTTTTACATAAAATCATTATTTAAAAATAATTTATCCTGCAGAACAATTCCCAAACTTCTACCATTTCTCTCAAAGGAGAAGTTAAAAAAGCGAAGCCAGTTCATAACAAATGGAGAGAAGTTATCTGACAACAGAACCTTATCTCTGACTCTGACACAATACAGATGGGTGGAGTAGGTATTCTTTCTATATAATAATGAGATTATCTATCTATTAGATGACCTTCAATAACTGACGACGCCGACACGTGATTTTATGTGACTTTTGTTTGAATCAACTTTTAGAACGCGAAAATTTTTATACGAAAATTCAGTTCATTATCTCAAATTTTGAGGTTGACCCCTTTTTAATGCTAATTTGACTGGACTATAAGGAGAAAACACAAACAATATTATTATTGTTATTTTTCCCTTATTATCGCGATAGGGTCAAGGCGCCTGTTCGCGTCCACCGCTCTAAATGAGTTAAAACGATGAATTATTCTTTAAAAACACTGGGAATTAAATACTCACAAACTTACTACTAACAAACTTGAAAGCCTTCTATGAATACATGGATTACAGGTAAAGTATTTGTTGGTTGTTTTTTTTTTGTATTATTTTTATTTCCCATTATGGAGTGTTACAAATGTTACAATCAAGAGTGGAAATTCTGAGAAATGACCGTTCCGAGAATTTGGCGCAGTGCAGTGGTAATATAAGTGGAAGGTTTTTTTTTGGGACTTTTGTTAGTCACCACAATAACCTCTTGCGTTGGATACTTCCAAAAGGTGATCAGTTCTACCGATCTCACTTCCATTGGACAAAACTTTGCTGCATTCGCCTCAAACTTTGAAGTTCTGATTACTCCAAGTTTGGGCATAACTCGTGTGTTGGACGGGCTGGTATTTAATGTTTTGCGATGAGTGAGGAAGATGGTGGAACTATAGTAGAACTCGGAAACCTTCATTAAGGCGGCGATCATAAATTTTCCACCGTCACATTCAATAGTGGAACCTGACTAACTCTTTATTGCATTATTAATATTATCATAATCACTGTACAGAAAATACTACGCAAGTAGTCTTTCTTTTATATACCTACGTACTAATTTTACCCAAGAAATAATAACTACTTATGTAAGTTTAAATTTAAATGCAAAATGTTGCATCAATGAATATTATAATACACTGCGCAGTGTGCAAGCAAGATACACAAACTCGTTTTTTTATTAATATCCAAACCATGTTTAGAATCGTTGCATTTACTGCCCCCTCAAAGCCCCACACAATTTCCATGTAGGGTTGCCATCAGATCAGAGTTTTGGTCCTTCGCCGGCCGGACTGAGTTCAGTTTTTAGTAATCACGCAACCCTACAGAAAAAAAGTATCGTTTGTAAATAATTTTACTGTAATTCTGATTTCTTTTGAAGCCTTTCCAAATTTTAAGGTGGCAACCCTAATTCCATCGCATCTATCACACTGAACGTACCTTTTTTATCAACCACTTCATAATAACCGAACGCATTAAAAAACGTAATACGCACGAGGAAATTAATCATAACAAGCCATCAGGCCAAATGACTTAATTATATTTAAATATTCATTTACATTGATAATTGCAGAGGGCAGCACTGTATCACGAGCAACCAGCAGCATTACAAATGAGCGGGAAAATAATTACGATATTATAGCTAAAAGCAAATCATTCGTGAAATTCCATTGAAGTTCGTTTTAACTCGTGCATCTTTTGTTTTTGATGCTCGTGGACTGTTCATTACTAAAACCTACCCAAATAATAAACGACTAGATGACAGACAAGCTAATTAGGAAATGAACCTAGAAAAAAATCGTTATCTAACAAAACATAACCTGATGATGTCACCAAAATAGAAATAACGGTAAATTAGATAAAAATGCATTAAAATCAAATAACATCCGCCCGTAAAGTGACTGGACTTAATATAGAAAGTGTTATAAAAGCAGGTAAGTCAAAGATAATAATATAATCAAGGCTCCCAGTCAGTCTCGTTGCCGTGGAAACTTCAACTTATTTTTGCCTATACGAGCGAAACGTGAACTGCCAAGATCATCTAATATCCGAATGAAATCATAACAATCAATAAAAGAGACATTGACGGGCGCGCGTTGTAGCGCGACGTTGCCAAACCGCGCGCCGCAGCAGCTGAGGTGCGGGGTCGTTGCGGGGCCGCGGCGGCGACGCTGCGTCATTCCGCGTCGCTCGCCCGACCGCTGCAGATGTCGGACGTTTTACAAAAATGACTGAACGATTCGACGTCGAAATGTTTATCAGTGAAGTGAAGAAGTATCCAGAAATATGGGACCTAAATTGTGAAGACTATAGGTTAAAGAAGCGGAAGGATCGCGCGTGGGCCGAGGTGGCCAGGGTTTTTATAGCCGACTTCGATGATATGACTGCGACCGAGAAGAATGAAATTTGTGAGTATTTCACGGTGAAACATAAAACTAAGCATTCAAGTGATTTTGCGGTTCATCCTAAATCGAGAATTTAAGTTTATAGGGACGAAGTAATTCGATAAATCTTTGTCCAATTCTCCTCAGAGTTTAGTGAAACTAAATGTTGGTGATAATAATACTAGTGAACAGCAGAGTTGAATCGAAACACATCTATTAGGCACACATACAGTTAATTTCCAAGAAAAGAAACATACTTACATCGAATTTCAATGAAAGTATTCCAAAGTAAAAATTTATTTTCCTCTTCTAGAAGTGATTTTATAAATCGGTTAGTGTGTCATATGAAAATATTTAGATACATCGATAGGACAATCAACTACTTTCGCTATCAATAATGTAATGAATTTCAATGTTGCAAATTCATTTGATGTAGGTAGTTGCGAACCGTTGCCGGTAAAGAAAATTATTTTATTCCTGTTATGTCTGCTAAGAAAGTCAAATAGAATCATAATAAAAAATTCTTTCCAGACAGAAGTCTTTACGGAAAATGGCGTAACCTCCGAGACTCCTTCGTGAGGCATTTGCGGAAAGATGGAGATAGTAAAAATAGCTACGTGTACGCAAATAACCTGGCATTCCTCAATGACCTGTACAAGCCTGGTAGCACTCAATCTGACGAGGAACTCATGAACTGCCCAGAGGACCAGAAACCCAAGCGGAAAAAGATTAAGTACAACAAATTCGAAGATATCTGGAATCGCGACGAGATATCCCCCGTAGAAGACACGAAAATAAAAGGCAAAGACATTGAATTCATAGACACATTCCCGACTGCGAACTGCAGTACCTCATTCCAAATGGAAGATGAAGACAGATCATTCTTTGATTCCCTATTACCAGCTGTAAGAGAACTGACTATAGACCAAAAGCTAGAATTCCGAAGTGAAGTGATTAGTGCATTAAAAAATATTAGGTCAACCAACAAATTCAAATTGGACCCAGGGACCGGTGACTTCAGTGAAACAATGTAGGTTAATTTTATTGTTATTTTATGCTAATGTGATCAAGTAATAAATTTTCGTTTCATTAACAGTCTACTATAACTACACTTTAAGAGCTATTGTTGGTAATTAAATTGGCAAAGGTGATGTAGAAATTGTTAATTAGCCGCGTGTTTATAATTAAATGAAATATCAACTTCGTGCACGAAGTTACGTATGTTTTGATTAACTGTAAATTTAAATGNAGGTTGTACTTGATGAAATTTCATTTCATATTATTTATTAATAATTCAAAGCAAAAAAGGCTTATTACATCTGAATTGTCAAAAAATGACAGCTGTCAGAATTCCGTCGAATTAAAAATCGGACTATAGTATGAAAATCATCAAACTTTTAATGTTCGTAACTCAGTTCAGACTGAGTTTAGAGGTATACATGTCATAGTAAGTTTGGTTTATTACACTATTTTGTAATCAAAAAACAAGGTCTGGTCGATGGCCGCGCGAAAAAAAAAGACGCCAATTTCCGGCATTGTCTTTTGATANTTTTAAATGAGCCTTTTAATTTTAATGACCGACTTCAATCTATAATGGCACGATATCATACGATGAATTTGTCGAACGTAGGTAGGTATGAATGATATCGTATTCTACGATTCGCACAAGTTCTCGAGTGGTCTGATACTGAAACTGCAACAAGTATGGCGATCTGGTTACGACTACCACGACTACCTAAATAATGCCGGCGAGCTGGCAACGGCGCGGGGAAAGTAGCAAGCGAAGCGGCAACGCGTGAACTGTGCGATCGATGGAGCGAGGGCGGCGGGGCGGGGTGACCCTTCCGTACAAACATATTTATACCTACCTACTTGATGTTGTACGAACACGTGTAGTTGACATATTGTATTGTATGCAAGCAACGAACAGGTTAGCAAGGTAGTAAAACGTCGATGGCGCGCGGTTGGAGTCAACGCCTTGGGGAATACAGTTTTTGTATTTGTCAACGTATTAACGTCCCCCAGCAGGCCGGCTAAGTATAATTACAATTTAATTATACCGCCGTATGTAGCGTTTGTACGAGGTATGCAAGTTGCAACAACATTAACATCGACAAACACGAGAATTTTATCGTCATAAGAACCCGATCGCAAAAACATCGTAAGTATGTGGAATAAAATGTCACAACAGAGCTATAAAAAAGACCTAAATTTGATCACCTTTACTTGGATTCACTATAAAAGAAAAATTTTATACATCAAAATCTTAAGAATTCATTAACATAAATTTAGATAGTAAATTCCGTAACTAATGTTTACTAGCCAATAAGCA